AGATGGCTTTCACCTGCGGCGGCTTACACAGCGCATCCGCCGCGACTTGGAGGGGCTGATCTCCTCCACCTACTGGCAGTGCTGCCAGACCAACGAGCGCGCAGTCTTTTTCGTGACGACGAAGGTGGCAAACGGCACGGCAGATCTTCTGACAACATCGGTGAATCAACAGGTGATTGAACACACGGAGGCCATGGGGTACTCTCTGGCTTCTTCATACGTCACCCTCAGCCCCGATGTCGTTCACACGAGTGTACGCATGCTCGTTCATAACTTCACGTTTCGGCGTGTGCGGCGAACAGCGTTAGAGGTGGGCGACGAATTGGCATTGTCAGGGGAGGGCGACGGGAAGGAGGAGGAGGTCATTGAAACCCACGAGAACATTCTCTCGATGCGCGTCGGTCCACAGAAAAAATCGCTCTATGAGGAGCGTTACCTGCCACCGAACAGCACTAGGGCATCCGACATATGGAGAGCGCATTAAACCGGCTAGAACAACACAATGGCAACACGAGCACCCGTCACAGCCAAACCTTTTTCCGGTCACTTTACCGTCTCCTTAAACTTCTATCCGCTCTCTCTCTTTTTCCCCTGATTGGCTTTTAGAAACGGTCTGCTGCAAATTGAATTACACGCACAAGGACGTAAACCCAAAAAAAATAGAAGGAAACAACACCATCAGCAAGAAGGGCAGAAAAACAAAATGAATACAAGGAAAAGCCTCAAGTGACATCAACCTGCAAATACACTTCTGGCGCAATTATAATTTCTTTGAAATGCTTGCTGCCGTGGGGCTGTTGCCGGTTGTGGCTGCCACGGTAACGTACGAGCCGCGCTGCCACGTGACCAAACGTATCAAAGGCTCCACTGGGTCTTTTGGTGGAACCATCGCGAACGTGGTCCACTCGTATGACTTGGTATGGGGCAACATGGACTGGCGCCAGCTTGCTTCGACAGACCACGAGTGAGCGGGCATGTCAACATTTACCAGCGCCACGGGGCACCGCAGACCACGGGGGGCATACGGCGTGCTTGCATCTGCCTGAGCTCTGGCGAGCGCCACGCCGCACACATACCCGTAGGTGCTCGTTGCTTTGTTGGACCTGACAACTTTTCCTTCTTCAGGCACGACAGTTTCTGTCGCAGTTGTTGCGTTTTTTCTTGCATGTTTATCCGTTCTTCTCCCAGCAGCCCGAAGCAAATTGTGGCATATGCGGACGGCGTCGTGAATCATTTGTGTTTTGAAAGGCTTTAAAAAACAACGGGAGAGGCAAAAAGAGGCCCGAAATGCAAGTTAAAGGCCACGCATATATATGCAAGGACATTTTTGATGGTTGGATTTGCTTGATCCCACGCCGTTCACACAGCCAGTGGGAAAGACGTTCATTGGCGGATTGATGTCGTTTCCGTTACGCAACATATGGGGCGCAGTGAAGAGGGGACGTTACTTTCTTATTAGTGAGGAAACATAATGATATTTTGCATGAATAAGCGGGCTATGAGTGAGTTTGAAGCCAGCGGCATGCTCTCCGAGAACTCATAGCCACTCCGCAGCCGCACTGTGCCTGAACGGTAAGGGCACGCACACACTCACACACACACATGCAAACCTACAGAAAAAAAAACGAAATGCTACATTGACGAAGGTGTGGCCCACCGTAAGTGATGATGGCGTTTATTGTTTTGTAAATTTCTTTCGTGACCCTTTTGTTCAATGCTAGGAATTTTGTTCTTTCCAACTTCTTAGACACTTTAAGAACGGAAGAAAAAAAGCCCTACTCGCCACTGCGAATTTTGAAGGCACTGAAAGGACCAACAGCACAAACACCGCCCACACACACATATTTGTATGCTCTCACGCGTTGCTGCAGTGAAGGCACTCCGCACACACAACCGTCGCCGCGTGACCGGATCCAGCGGAAGGAGGAGGGAAGGAAGAGAGTGAACCGCAGAGGCCCCACATGTCCCGGCGTGTGTTTGCTTCCGCGGTGCTGTTCCTCCTCGTCGTGATGATGTGCTGCGGCCGTGGAGCTGCAGCCGTTGTGGAGGGTAAATCCGGGGATGCGCAGCTGCTTCAATGGGTCGATATTTTTGTGCCACATAAGACGCAGGTGCTGCCGAAAGGCGAAAGGGGCTCAGGTACGCCGAGGGATTTGTTTGCCTCACCCTCTCTTGTCAGTGCTGGTGGAGTAATTGCTGCCTTCGCCGAAGGTCGCATGAATGCCAAATATCAGAGTGCTCAATTAATTAAGCCGATTTCTTCTGATGTTGTTGCGGAGTACATCGATTCTGCGTGGGAATGGTCCACTTTTGCTGGTGAGGTT